TGAAGCTGTACAAAACGGTGCTGGCGCAGGAGGCCAAGGAGATCAGCGACGAGCTGAAGCAGCTGCACGAAAAGCTGCTAGCCATTGGCTCCAATGAGCACCTCCCCCTCTACCAGTCCTCCTCCTCGATTCAGTCTACCGGAAGTGGTAATGGAGGTGGTGGTAATGGAGGTGGTAATGGATCAGGAGCTGCCGCCGCTGACAACATGTCAATGGTCTCCGCCTCGCACGGCCTCACCTCCTCCCAGTCCATCGGCGCCGGTGACCATCTGCTGGCGGTGGATGAGCATTGTCTCGAAGGATGGCTCTCCATTCCCAACAAGCAAAACATCCTTAAACATGGCTGGCAAAAGCAGTACGTCGTGCTGACCAGCCGCAAGATTATCTTCTACAATAGTGAACAGCACAAGAACAGCCTCAATCCGACCTTGATTCTTGATCTGAGGTGAGTGAAATGCTCTAATAGTGAATAACTTTGCTTCTGTTTCGCTACTAAACTAAACTAAACTGTTTTCTGCTCTTTCAACTCAGCAAACTTTTCCACGTACGATCAGCGTCGCAAGACGATGAAATCCGTGCTGATGCCGAAGAGATTCCGCGCATCTTTCAGGTAAGTGCTTGTGCCCTTTCTACTTTGGTTGTTACGTTGACTAATTTGTGCTTTTCAAAACCCTTACTTTTCTGAAGCTTCTCTACCTTGGAGAGGGTGAAAGCCGCAAGATAGACGACGCCACTTTTCAGGGCGATGTTTTGATGTGCGAAAACGTAAGTGTGCTTAAGTGAAAAGGCTATGTTCTCCATTAAAATCGATCATATCTTCTCCTTGCAGGCCCCACCTATTGAGCATAAAGGGCATGAATTTATCTCCATCACCTGCAAAGCGCCAACCACATGTGTGTTGTGTCCTGAGCCACTAGTGTGGCACAATCTCACGCCGCCGCCTGCTTTTGGCTGCATGCGTAAGTGACGAGAGGCTGCATTTAAGAAAAACTGACAAACAAACTAAAACTCTCTTTTTTTCTCTTTTGTAGGCTGCCAAGTGAAAATTCACAAAAAGCACCTGAACAATGTTCTGGCTAACAAGCAGGGCGAGAAGCAGATCGCCCCTTGCAAGGTCTACTATGACGCGAACGCCGCCATGGAGCTCTTCTTGCTGGCATCCAGCATTGAAAATCAGCAGGAGTGGACTGCCTGTCTGCGGAAGAAGATCGAGCAGGACGGCTACGCTGCAGTCAATCGACTGGACGAAAAAGACCTGGTGAATGTGCTCAACTTAAGCACCAGCTTCCTCTCCGTCAAGCCGCTGACGTCACAGCTGTCCCCGTACAGCGTCAGCGGCAATTGGCGGCAGCTTGCCAGCACGCCCGTCGCCGCCGTTGACCTCCAGTCAGCCCCCATCCAGAACATCTCCTTCTCCTTTTCCTCCTCCTCCCCCTCATTCTCTTCCTTATCATCTCCTGCAGCTGCCGCCTCTCACCAGCAGAAATTGGCCAGCAAAAAGTGACTGCAACAACAACAGCACAGCAAAGAAAACGCCTAACAGTGCTCATCAACTAGTGGCGGTGAGGATGATGAAGCTAAAAAAACAAGTTTGTTGATAGTTTTTACCCATTATTGTAATTTGTTTCTGGTTTTTCCCTCTTTTCTGTCTTTTCTTACTTTTCCTTCCCTTTTCTAAAGCTTTCTTAAATAAAATTGAATTTACGCAAATTTTGGAACTTACACTGGCCGGGCGATTGCGAGGTACCAGAGCCAAACCACTTTTATTCAATCCAGTATATTTATTGCTATTTTTGTGCCAAAAGAAAATTTTTTAGTTTGAAAATTAGCAAAGATATGAAATACCTTATTTGCTATGGTGAAAAAACTGCTGGCGGCTACTCCATGTAAATCTCCATAGATGACAAAATCAGGAAAAATCAAATATCTTTGCTAATTCCCAAACTAAAAATTTTCATTTGGCAGAAAAATCTCCTATATATATATACTGTTATTAAAAAACTTGCTTCGTGTGTACGTCCGTCACAGGCACTACTGCTCCCCACTCTGCTAGCAAAGCAAAACGGAAGGGGAGGAAAAGGAGTACAGTGGAAAAAAGAGCGGTCAAGAGGACGGAGTGTGGGGACTGTGCTGCTAACTGCTGGCAATGCTTACGGTAACGGCAGCATTTTTGTCCTGCAAGCAGAAAGAAAATGTGATCGGTGATTGGTTGAGGGAAGGGAAACAGTGGGAGAGTGAGGAGAGCAGTGCACGGGCCCAAGGCGGTGGGAGTTGACAGTGTCCAAGTCACATCAGAGTGAGCCGCTGATCAAGTTTGATAAAAAGTAAAAAGTTTATTTGTAATTCGATAATAAAATTGAGTATTTAAACATTAGTGTGAAATCAGTAATTAAAGTAAATCCTTTCATAATAAGGAAAAATGATAATAAAAAATTGTTTAAAAAATGTTCTTTTCTTTCCTTAAATCCATTTTCCAAATCGAATTTTGTAGGGCAGGTACATTTTGGCGAGAAAGTCCGGGGCGTAGTCGCACAGCGCCTGAATCTCCACCTTGACGCCCTGTTTCTGCAGGCGTTCAATCTGCCCCAACCACGGATTGCCGTCGAGCATGTAGGCGCGCTTCTTCATCGACTCAAAACGAGCCATCTCGCTGTCCGTGAAGTAGGTGCCCTGCAGCTTGAACTCGGCAATGTCCTCCGGAGTGATGCCCAGCCACTTGATCTCCGGAACGGTCAGGTGCAGGCTCTCGAAAGCCATCCTCACGGAGCCGTAGCGGTAGTTGCAGAGAATGTCCACGCCATAGGCGTCACCATCGACCAGGCCCATCACCGGCAGCTTCACCGTCAGCCAAAGTCGTTGGAGAAACGTTCGGGTGCGAACGTCTGGATAGCCGCAGCCAGTGATCTAGTGAAAAGAGTAGTTCAGTTTAAGTGGGTATTCAGTAGTTGGTGTGTGTGTGTTTATCACTGCTTACCATGATGCACTGCAGCGTCTCGGGGATGTTATCGTTGAGCAGCTGAAAGAAGGTGGCGTACTTCTCAATGACCAGGATGAACTTGGCACTGAAGGCGGTCACCTGCAGGCGATGCGCCCACTCCGGGATCATCTGACCGCCACGGACGCTGTTGCCCACCACCGAGACGCCGGTGACCTTGTCGACGTAGGCGAAGTCGCCGTAGAAGGCGCCCTTTGGAGAGGAGAGAATGTTCAGCTCAATGCGGCTGACGTTCAGCGTCGCGCAGATGTCGCTAATCAACGCCGCCAAGTGGCTGTCCTTTTTGAAAATCTTCGTGTTGCGATAGTAGATGTCACGGACGGTGTTTGTTTTGCCCGCCTGCAGGTTCACCAGAATGACGCGAATGAGAAAGCAGAGGGCAATTTTGTTCTCCACAGTCACCTCTTTGAACTTCATCTTGGTGTCGCAGAGCAGGCCGACGCCCTTCTTGAAGGACACCAAAGTGGGCGATCGAGACTGGATAACCTAGTGAGGAAAAATGTGTTAATTGAAGAAACCATTTTTCTTTATTTTGAACTTGCTTCTTTGTAGGTTTTGTTTGATTTGCGCAGTGCCTTTCCAATTTGCTCCATTTCGTTTTGTGAAGCAATAAACTGCATTGAACGCGATTGCAAATTTAGGAACTGATTATTCTTTGCCGGCTGAGGTTTATCCATTTTCTTGTAAACAATCTGGCGGCTGATGGAAAAAACAAATTACTTATTGTTATCAGTAATACAATAAAAGTTACAAAAATATACCTTGCTTTGTCTGGTTTCTTGTTTTCAAAAGCAGCCAACAGTGCTTGCAATTTGTCAATGATCTCTTCTTGAGTAAATTTTTCCAAGTGATCANCAGTGAGACAGACTGGCTTCTAATGTTGACATTAGCGCAAGCACTCTCGTTTTCTTTATCATTATCGTATTTGAACTCATTGTTAATCACTTGAGAATTAGAATAGAAAAATGAGCCAGAAGTTGTTATCTCTTCTTTTTTAACTTGCGAGGATTGCAACTCAAGGGAAGGCACCAACGGCAGCAGTTCAGTGATATCTTGTTCGTAAGGCGAACGATCCAAGAGAAAGTTGTTAGAAACATTGGAAGATGAAATTGGCCTGAAAAAGCAACCACTGTCATTTGGGTTGCTAAACTGCTGCGTTCCGGAAACTTGGTTTGAATAAACAGAAGGAGTATCAAAACCGGCAAACTCAGGAATAGAAAAGTTTGTCAAAGCAGTATTTAAATCTGTAAGCTGTGTTTCGTGTGGAGCGTCGCTGAAATAAGGAAACATAGACACTAAAAGGAAAAGAGCAAAAAGTTAGATAGTTAAAACCAAAAACAAAGTAAAACTTACTGGTTGAGTATGTGACAGAGCCAAAAAATCTGGTAAAACAGTAACTGAAACCGAGTTTTGAGAAACAAAACCAGAAAACAAAACGCGGCCTTGAGCGAGAAACAACAACAACAACAACGCCGAAAAAGAAGGAGCGAGAATGAGCGGGTTCTATTTCTCTCTCGATATTGGAGCAACAGTGCGCCACCAGACATGCGCTGTTGACCGGCTCCATTTCTGGTCACTGCTGCTGCAGCGAAAACGGTGCTCAGCTGAAACCAGCCAATCAAATCGAGCGGATCGATGCTTTTTGCACCTACGTAAACAATGTAACGGCGATCTAGGTTTCGCTTTTGCTTTAAATCAACAACAAACGTTAAAATGTTTTCTAAACAAAAATTGTGTTTTCGCACACCAAAATAATAATTTTTAAGCTTAGTTGCAACATTATTATGTTTTAAATAGTTAAAACTGTTTGGTTTGTCAAAATTAACTTAATGGTACTTAAATTATATGTTTTTTGATAAACAATTAGTCCAAATGTGATAAATATCTATTTTTGTTATTTTGTTTTAAAGTTTTTTGCTTATTGCATGTTTTACTATGTTTCTGTAACGTCCTTGTTTATTTTGTGTTTTATAAAAATGTAATTTTTTATCAAATGCCAGTAGTTTTGCTAGTTTAAACCAAATAAAACCAATATTACAATTTATTAGTTCTTCATTCATCATTGACAAAACTTGTAACATGTAAATAAATTGCTAATTAGCCCAATGACAAGTTAAAATAAAAATTTTACATTGCGTCCTAGTTCTCAATGATTTGATTTATTAATTAGAAGGACATAAAATAAACAATTAAGTTTTGCATACTTGTTAGAAAAACTTTTAGGCAGTGTGTGACTGATCCTTGTCCTTCTAATTATTGTTTTACCTAGCGCTAGATGCAAAAACATCATTTAAAAATTGTTATAAAGCATGCTTCTTTTAGTCAAAATGCCGCCAATGTTTGAAATATTTTTAAAACTGAAGACCGCAACGTTTTGCACTGAAGCAGAGCGACGACAAAAGAGACAGGTCATCACTGCATGGCAAGCACTACTGAGCGTATCTAGTGGTCACACATCTTAGTCCCGTCTTCTTTGCAGCGAACAGTTTGTTTTCCTTCGCTTTTCTTTTCGCTCACGCATAGAGCTCACGTTTTTTGTACTGCCGCTCATCACAACGGCAGAGAGCTAACATTGGCCAGCAGCAACAGCAACAGCAACACGGCCGTTGCAACAACTACAACAACAAACAAATTGGTTTATCACCCAACTTTTAATTTTCTGTTTACCTGTTAACTGTCGTTTGTCGTACTCTGTCATTCCGTTTTTTAGCAGTCACTGTGCATTTTCAGGGTCACATGCTGCTGTTTGGCCACAGTTTGTAGACACTTTTGCCACTCGATTTGCCTTGGCTCGCCGTCCTGGGCCTTGCGTTTGATCGCGGGTCGGTTTTTTGTTTGAACCACCTTAACCTCTTCTGCATTCTCCTTTGCGTTTGAGGCGTCTTTGCCGCTGCCTGAGGTAGCTGCCGTTTTCGAAGATGTTCAGCGAGTCAGGATCGAGTGTCCAGTGGCTGCCCTTGCCCGACTTCTTATCATCCCGGGCCACCTTGATGAAGCACTCGTTCAGGGAGAGGTTGTGGCGAATGCTGTTCTGCCAGCCCTGTTTGTTGTCCCGGTAGAATGGGTACTCGTCCATGATGTACTACAAAAAACAAAAAGATGGCAGTTTAGAAAAATGTTAAGTGTGTAAACAAAATGTTGTTACTAAAATTACACGACCAGACCAGACGCCACTTACCTGATAGATTCCACTGAGCGTCACCTTGTGGTCGGTCGCCTTCTTGATGGCCATGGTGATCAGTGCGATGTAGGAGTAGGGCGGCTTGGCGATCTCATTTGATGAGCTGCTGCAGCTGTTGTTGCTGTTGTTGTTAGAGTTGGTGTTCATCGCCGAGGTGGTCGTCGTGGTGGTGATGGTGGCGGTGGACGGGTCGAGGTCGGCGGCACCGGCACAGTCGGCGACTGCACCGCCGGTCGTTTTGGCTGCCTCCACTACCTCGGGGTTTTCCCGCCTGGTCGCCAAAAGAGTCTCGTTTTACGCGAGAGCGAGTGCCTAAAAGAGGGGGTAAAAAAGTGAAAGGTTAACAGCTGAACGAGCCGCCAGTGGCGGAACAACTGGTTCAGCACCCGGGTCCAATCATTCCCTGGCGCTTCCAGGAGGACCCCGCCACCGGCGCCTTCTGGCCGCCCTTCTGGAACACACGCAACCACGGGCACGCCGCCGTTAGCAAAGAGGAAAGGGACGCCGAGCTGGTGTTCAGCAGTCCGTCCTTTGTCCTCATTCCGGTGCGTCATATTAAAAAGCTCACCCAAGAGAAGAGCGGCGGCGGCGGTGGCGGCGGCGGCGGCGGCGAGGAGCACCACCACACCGGCGAAAGCAGTCATCGTCACCACCGTCACCACCGTCACCACCGTCACCACCGTCACCACGATCACCACGATCACCACCACCAAGGCGACAGTCAGCCGATCTTCCGCGCCGCNCGGCGGCGGCGGCGGCGAGGAGCACCACCACACCGGCGAAAGCAGTCATCGTCACCACCGTCACCACCGTCACCACCGTCACCACCGTCACCACGATCACCACGATCACCACCACCAAGGCGACAGTCAGCCGATCTTCCGCGCCGCCATCACCACCAAAGTGCTGGAGGGCACTTACCACGGCGTGGCCACCGCCAAGGAGCAGGCCTTCCTTCAGCGGGCCGCCGACGCCTCGCCCTTCTTCGTGGACCACGCCAAGGTGCTGAAACGAGCCTTCACCGACATGGCCGTCCACGACCTGTCGCTGCCGCCCACTCGAATCGCCTTCAATTTGACCGCCAACGCCGAGTACCAGGCCAATCCGAAGAGCGTGGTGAGCATCAGCATATCGCTGCCCAATCTGCAGACCGGCGAGCTGATGATGCTTCCGGTAAGGCTGTGAAGTGGAGTCGCCGTTGCCTTCGTCCTCGTCCTTGTCATCAACACACAGATATTTGACCACCCTCTTCTGGCTACAAGTTGTAGCCTACAACAGTAGCACCTTGGTATTGATAAATCATTTGTATAAATCATGTTTGAAAATTGGGAGTTCATGTATCTTTATTATTATCAGCTTCATTTTGCTCAAACTCTGGCATACACACAGGAGTTTTCAAAAGCGCCCACAACATAATCGCACACCATTGTATATTTTTTCACTGACATCTCCAACAGTGACCCTTTGGGTGATCCTCTTTGAGGCGCATTTTGCAGCCTTGTTTGGCTATCTTATCTGCCTTTCTGGCGGTGATTTTGCATCGATAGGGCAGGTCAATTGGTCTTACAGTTGATACAAAAGAGTTAGTTGTAGAAAACAAAAAGAGTTTTTTAAAGACCAGTTCTTGCCATTGTAAGTGCTGGAAAAAGCAGCGGCTGCGGATTTAGCAGAAGTGGCCACAGTAGAAGCAGTTTTAGTAGATCTTTTGTTGGCAGTAGAAGTTGTAGAGTTGAAAGCAGTGGTGGTGGTGGTAGCGGAAGTGCGTGGCTGCTTTCGAAATGCTAATAAGCTGGTGACTGACGTCGACGGTCGTGAAGTTGCAGCAGCAGTGTCATAAGTGTT